GAGGGAGAGTGGGGAAGGGGCAGAGAGAGGATTCCAAGCAGGCTGCATTGACAGTGTGGGTGGAACCCATCAACCATGAGATAATGACCTGAGCCGATACCAAGAGTCAGATGCTTAACCAGCTGAGCTACCCAGGCACCCCGACACAGACACAAATTTAAGGCATGTGAACTCAAGGGAAATGGGAACCATTTATTCAGTGGAGCGATTCTTTGGTGTTATTCTCTGGTGATAAACCCTGATCATTTTTTTAAACGTAAAAATATTCAGAAGCAAGATTACCTCTTTCTTTTGAGTTGATTTTATCCACAGTTTTAAAATTCACAGTAGTTGTTAGGACCATTATAATGTGTAAAATAGTTATGGTAGTAGAATATTGAACTTAAGAAGCTGACAAGATCCTGGAAAGTGATTGAATTATGGGGGAGGAAACTTTAGTTATTTGTTATTCTTAAGTGGAGTAAGGCAATTCTTAGTATACTAGGAATATAATTTATCAAATCCAAGTCATCAGTAAGATTTAAAGTTATAATTTTTAGCAGAGTCTGCCTAACCAGTAACTTTGTTGCCGTGCATAAAAAATTCAGATCCTAGGATCTTCCTCAGTCTCTGCTTCCATTATAAGAAGCACACAAATAAGGGATTAGATAGGGAAAAAGCATGAGCAGTTTTAGATATTTCTTGTAGACTTTAGAAGTTTCTGGGGTACCTGGGTGTTATAGTCAATTAAATGTCCGACTCTTGGCTTTGGTTCAGGTTGTGATCTCATAGTTAGTGAGTTCGAGCCCCACATCCGGCTCTGTGCTGACAGTGTGGAGCCTGCCTAGGATTCTCTCTCTGTTCTCTCTCTGTCCTCCCCCCTCTCCCAAATAAGTAAAGTATAAAAATAAAAAAGTTTAAGACAGAATTTTAATGTGGAATCATTGTAGTATCCCATTCATTTAGTTAATAAATTGAGTGCTTGTTTTCTGCCAAGAGTCTGTACAGAAGTGTTGGGTATATAGGAATGAATGGAACAGACTTGTTTTCCTAGAGCTTATTGTCCAATGTGGGAGGCAGGGGTTAAACAAATACAATATGGCATTAAATAAATGTGTTACTGAAAAAATAGTATGTGATGATAGAAGCCTAATATTATAACCATTTCTCTTCCATTTTGTTCTGCATTATTAACAAGTTAAATTGTTAATGTTGTGATATGAAATTTGCCAGATCATTTAGTGTTGTAATCTGGTTAAATTCCTAAATGGAATTTGAAACAGTAAATATATTTGAAACCTGTCAAATTGTCCTCATATTTCACTGTTACTTCTGCATCTTTTTAACTAGATTTAAGTAAATTGATGCTTTATTTTTCTAAGTTATAATTTTTTTCATGGAGCTTCTCTTCGTTTGATATAGATTGATGAAAACAACTAATGTAAGCTCTTCCAACTCCTGCCTCCTCCAAAAGGAACTATAGAAAAAATGCTGACATGGTTATTATTTAACCTTACGTCTGATCGCCAGTTAACAGTGGCTCTCAACAGTGATCAGTGTCTTCCAAGTCTGCTAACAATATAATAATTTGTAAACACACTTTGTTTCATGGCACAGAAGCAACATTGATATAAAAACAATTTCCTTCACTTTTCTGCATCCCAAAGAGAGACATACAGATATATACATACATACCCTGTAATTGGGATCTGTGAACAAGTGAATCTTCCCTACTCAGGCTCTGTAGTCAAACCATCAGATTTTTTACCACCTTGATATTAAACCAAGGAGAGAATGGGCTGATTGCAGCCTGGTAAGCTGCTCATTAAGGTGATGACTCAACCTTAGCAGCAGGAGGAGATAACAACTTTGAAAAGGAGCACAATGAGGATCAAACTCTTACTCTCTTTATATTCTTTTCTTTTTTTTTAATTTTTAAAATTTATTTATTTTGAGAGAGAAGAGAGAGAGTGCAAGTGGGGGAGGGGCAGAGAGAGAGAGAGA